TTCATGTCCATAAAGGGTTTAGGGTTTAGGGTTTAGGGTTTAGGGTTTAGGGTTTAGGGTTTAGGGTTTAGGGTTTAGGGTTTAGGGTTTAGGGTTTAGGGTTTAGGGTTTAGGGTTTAGGGTTAAGTGCTAGCATATGGTCGACAACTCTCCTTCGCACCCTTCCCCACTTCTGAGGGCGGCGCGAGGACAGAACAGCACAAGGGAAACGCAACTGTGCGACACGTGCGGACAAGCTCATCGGCATCCCGTGGCACATGCCAGCGCGTGCCTGCCCTTGGCGAAACTTAGCAAGGCAACATCTCCAGCTTCCGTACTTGTGAGGGTGGTGCGAAGATGAGCCGACATAATTGGCGCACAAACAGAGTGCCGTGGGCATGTCTGTGATGGCTTGCTGCAAGCAATCTTCATGCACGCCAAGCACAGCACCTTCAGACTTCTGCCGGTGCGCCGGAGCCGCGGGACGAAGACGCGGCGATGCCCGTCAACTTCCCCGCTCCCCTACGTTGGGTTCTCCCAAACGCAGCGTCTAGCAAGCTGGGTCCCCCTGAAGCCGCGGGAGGAAGACGCGGCGATGCCCGTCCACTTCCCCGCTCCCCTGCACTGGGTCCACCCAAGTGCAGCTCACTCAAGCACAGCCTCAGCTCGTCTTCCTGTCCTGCCTGAATCTCCGATCGCTGGTCAAGTTGATCCAGAATTCGTCTTGGGCTCCGGTGAAGAGTATGTTGAGATCGGCCTTGACCGGGGCATTCCCTGTCTTGGTGTCTCGACGCGCCTCGCGAGACTTCAAGCTCACGACCCCTGCGCCGTGGACCAAATTCGTGGCCATGGCCGCCACTTTCAACCCAGGTGGAAGTAACAATTGGTGCGAGACTCTGAATCCGCCCGAGCGCAAGACCACCTCCCTCACATTGATGTACTCGAGCTTGGGTTTCTTGCCGACCCCCGTCTCCTCCGCCTTCCTCCGCTCTTGGCGGACCCTGTCTACGCAGGTGACGATGTCGTGTTGGAGCCCGGCTAACACCGCCACCTCAGGGAACGAGCTGGCCAAGTGCGTCGTCGTGGTCTTGCCGAGGGTCGCCAAGTTGGTCCTTATCCACGCCGACACTCTTGCGCAGTTTGTCTCCGAGGTTATCGACGCGAGGGCTTGGTAGAAGCGGGACTCGCTGGTGGTGACCAACGAAGCTGCCATCATCAAGTATATGTCAGCTCTATCCAGCCTTGTGTCCCCCAACAGCGCGTAAATCCGCCTCCGGTAGGTCTTCGCAGTCTCGCCGGCCGAGTCAGCCAACAGGCCCTGGTTCAAGAACCCCATATCTAGGTAGTCATTGTGAGTGAACAACTTGTACAACAAGTCGTCCTCCATGTCCACCGCCCTTTCGGGCGTCGACGAGGTCGACTTCTTGGTCCCAGTGTAGGTGGCACCCTTCTTCCCGGTCTTCCTTCTCTTCTTCCGGGGGTTGCTTTTCTCCTGCTCCTCGTCGTTCTCGGCTCTGCCGTCACTCGCCTGGTCCTGCTTGGCGCCCTCTGGGTTCTCGTCCTCGTTCTCACCGTCGGCCTGAACCCCGTCCACATTGTTGATTTCATCCTGGGTGAGCCTCTCAAAGAACTCCGACAGGTCAGCCAAATTGGGCCCCACCTTGAACCCTACCGACTTGAGCTTCTGCGAAAAGGCCTTCTCGTGTTCTTTGAGTAGGCACTCCTGTCTCCGCCGAAGAAGACCTCTCGGAGGTTCTTGAGCGTGTCGATCTCCTTCACATCCTTAGGCTCCAACGGCCGCGTGTCCGCCATCTTCGTAGCCTTCGGGTCTACCAGGAAAAGCTAGCTGGCCCTGAGGCCTTTCTGCTACACCTGGATCCCAAACTTGAGCCAAAATGGCTACGGTTTAGGGTTTAGGGTTAGGGTTTAGGGTTTAGGGCTCAGGGTTTAGGGTTTAGGTTTTAGGGTTTAGGGGGGGTTTTCGGGTTTAGGGTTTAGCGTGTAGGGTCGCTTTGTGCATACAGGTGGGTTATCTTTCATGAACCTCCAAGTGGGGCAGACTACAGCAGAGAGGGACTCTAAGAAAACAAACGAGTTTTGGGTTTAGGGTTTAAGGTTTAGGGTTTAGGGTTCAGGGTTTTCGGAACCCCCCCCCACCCTGATAACCCCCTTGCTGGATTGGAGATCAACTTCTTCTACACTCCTTGCGGCACAACTGCAGAACCACCAGGCGTACAAGGCTTCAAACACAAGTGGAGCGCTCTCATGTACGTCGGATGTGCCTCCAATATTCGCCAGAAGCAATGAAATCCCTAAACCCAAAACCCTAAAACCCCAAACCCTAAACCCCAAACCCTAAACCTAAATCGAACCTTATCGCGGACCAAGGCACCAAGCGATGCGAATGGAGAAACATACCTCAAGTGCGGGCTGCTCACAACCAAGTCTCTTTTGAGGGGCCTTTTTGTAAGGAATCCGCCCTATCACCACGAGTACCTACAAGGAAGGACCGAAAAAGCCCGAAAAGCCGGGAAACCCCGAAAACTCTGAAAACCCCGGTAAGCCCGGAAACCCCGGACAGCCCGGAAAGCCTTGAAAGCCCGGAAAGCCCTGAAAGCCCGGAAAGCCTTAAGCCCCAAACCCTAAAGGTTCAGGGTTTGCTGGTCACCGCGGAAGACTAAGCCCGCCTCAACACAAGGAAAGAATCTCAGGGCAACGGGGGGTTAGGGGATTGGGCACCCAGTTTCGGGTTTCGGGTGTAGGGCTCCGGTGTTTAGGGTTTAGGGATTAGGGTTTAGGGTTTAGGGTTTAGGGTTTAGGGTTTAGGGTTTAGGGTTTAGGGTTTAGGGTTTCGGGTTTAGGGCTTAGGGTTTAGGGGCCGCAGCCTGCTAGTGTCGCTACAACGATGCCAAGCTGACTCAAACCAATACACTACAGAGTGTCAGTCCGCGAACGCAAAGGCCCTACAACCTTAAAGCAGCAAAGCTTATGTTCTAGGGTTTAGGGTTTAGGGTTTAGGGTTTAGGGTTTAGGGTTTAGGGTTTAGGGTTTAGGGTATGTTCAACAGCACAAAGCTGCAAAAGCTTGACAGCCCTAGAAGTGCAAAACACCATGAGCAGCATAAAGCTACCAAAGAGTTAACGCTGACCACTTACCTCCCCTAACAAAGAGAATGAAAAAACATAGTAAGCACGAAGAATAGACCAATGATCGCACTAGCAATGCTCGCAATAATCACGATACGACCCATACGAATCATGAAGCCACGAGCCATATACATCCCTCATCCAGGAGTACTCATGCTGCAGGCAGCACGATGGGTTCGAGGGGTTGTGTCAGGGTTCAGGGTTTAGGGCTTAGAGTTTGGGGTTTGGGGTTTGGGGTTTGGGGTTTGGGGTTTGGGGTTTGGGGTTTGGGGTTTAGGGTTTAGGGTTTAGAGGGTCAAGCAGACCCCCTTCGCCAGCTCGGGGGCCGGCGGTAGCTACCGGCCCGTTCGCCCCAGGGGTTCCCTGAGGAAGTTGGGGCCCAAGCGCTGCGTAGCAAATCTTGCCAAGGGTTTGGGATTTAGGGCTAAGGGCTTCGGGTTTAGGGTTTAGGGTTTAGGGTTTAGGGTTTAAGGTTTAGGGTTTAGGGTTTAGGGTTTAGGGCTTAGGATTGAAGTCGGGTCTTGGGTGCAGGGCTTGGGGTTTCGGATTCCGGGCTTCGGGCCTTGTTAAAGCTTGTGGGCGCCAGAAGACCACAAGAGACCCTCCCGAACCCTAAACCCTAATCCCTGAACCCTAAACCAGAAACCCCCAACTCGAAAACAATCCGAAGTCCAAGCTAACTCAACCACGATGTCAGTGCCTGACATACGGCCGGTTCTGTACAAGTTCTTTCCTGATGAGGGTACCTATATAGTGATCTCCGAAAATGGAGGTTCCTACTTGTACAGGAAGGGCTAGTGGTAGAAACATGGGTGTGGGGGGTTTGGGTTTGAGGTTTAAGCTTAAGGCCTACCTAGATTCCTACAGAGGGTTTAGGATGGCCAAAGAACGCACCCCTAAAAACATTCCTAAATATAAGCCTGATAAAGGAAATAGTTAAAGTATCCCAAGGGCCTACCTAGGGGGGGTTTACGAAAATAGCGGAGCCCCAATATAGACCCCCCAAGTAGTAGGATCCCCTTATAGTAAGGACCCAATAATGAGCTTCTCCCAATATCGTGTAAACCCCCCACAAACTACTTAAAACCCCAGTTATGAGTGGCTTTTAAGTACAGTTCTAACTAGGGTTGCAAGTGCCCCGAACCTCCAAGTAGGGGGGGGGTAGCATAGAGGGGCGTAGTCGGGGAACCTTACACCCTAAACCCTAAACCCTAAACCCTAAACCCTAAACCCTAAACCCTAAACCCTAAACCCTATGATGGGGGGGGAAGCCTATGGGTTCTTGCAGGACCTGGCCTCCGTAGCTGTCGTCTCCGAGGATGGGGAAGCCGGCCGCGGAGAGGTGCACGCGGATCTGGTGCCGCCTTCTTTGGGGTTTGAGGTTTCGGGTTTAGGGTTTAGGGTTTCGGGTTTAGGGTTTAGGGTTTATAGGGTTTAGGGTTTAGGGTTTAGGGTTTAGGGTTTAGGGTGTAGGGTGTAGGGTATAGGGTTTAGGGTTTAGGGTTTTAGGGTTTAGGCTGTCCCTGAGCCTTAGCTCTCCCATGCAAAGGGAGGATGGATCCTGATGATGCAGCCCTGGGAGAATCCAAAAAATAGATCCCCTTAAGGGTTCCTAAGAATGACCCAATAGGGTACTATTCTTACTTGCTGAGTCCATAGATCCCCAAAAAGTGTACACTGTCAGTTCTAGAGGGGATTATACTAGCCCAAAACGTGTAAAGTGTACTCATTCAGCTACAAGGTATTTGGGGGCTCTACTTCTTGGATCCTCCCAGGGGGGTCTGGGTTGCTGCTGAGAGCACCGCATCTTTTGGGAGCCCAAGATGCAGCATTGACGCTGACGGAATCACCCAAAAAGTAGATCCCAAATACTGT